TGTGCACATGCACAAAGAAAAATAAAATTTTATATATTATATTTATGTATACAATATATACAAATTTTATATTAAATAATTGATGTATTACATTTTAAATTTGGACTACATACAAATATATAATGTAAATATAATTTATTTAACTTTCGTATGAATCTCTATATTGATGCCACAAATTTTAATGGCTAATATAATTTAGTAATTTAGAGAGACCATACAATTAATTAGTTAGAAAAGTATTACAATTATTTTTATCATTGTTATAGCATATGTTTATGTGATTTTAAGGTGTTTAATTATGACACTCATGCCAATTAACTTATTAGATAAAAATCGCTTAAAAAGAACAAAAATATTTTATTTTAGAAAAAGTATTTTAAAGAAAAAAATTGCAATACAATCTTTTATAAGTATGTAACTTCCACATACTATTTAATGTAAAGTTGTAATCAATTAGTGTTAGTAGTGAATAAATTATATTAAAAATATTATTACACCTTATTAATGTAAAATGTAACGGTTCTACATTAATTGAAAAAATGAGCGGGAAAATGAATGGAGGTTTTATTAAATGTCTTATTAAATTCTACTAGTATTCTACCCTGTGCATTTGCACAGATATTAATAAAGTATTATAAGTTATTTGTATGCACATAATATTAAATTTATAAGTTCGATAATGATATTATATTTCAAATATGGAATATAATAAGTTAAACTTATGCATATAATATTAAAATTATTAGTTAGATAATAACATTATGTTATAAAATTTGATCATTGCTTAAAATAAATAGTATATAATGATTTGATTCAAGATGAATCACTATATTAATTTTATAAAATATAATAAATAATGTATTTTGTAGTTTTTAGGGTTCATGACCAATTGGTTAGCTGAAATATATTAAACTTGTTATAACAATTGCTTAAGTGGTTTTAAGAAATTTTACTATGATATTAAGGTAAATTAATCATTTAGATAACAATAGCTTAATTTAATAAAAAAAAATATATTATTGATTTTAGAATAAATAATTTAAACAAAAAGTTTTTACAATATAATTTTATATGCTTATGTAACTTTCATATATCATTTAGCGCAAAATAAATTATTAATTTTACTAATAACTATTGCAATAAAAAAATAGAATTGTTATTTAATTAATATAATGTGTAACAAATTTTGTCTTAATTAACCAAAATAAAAGTGCAAGAGAATATTTTATCATTAGTGGGATAGAGTGGTCATA